TAACATTATTGCTACAAAAAGTCTATTTCTGGCCGTGCGTGGTGGCTCATGCCTGTAATCCCAGCATTTTGGGAGGCCAAGGCAGGCGCATCACTTAAGATCAGGGTTTCCAGACCAGCCTAGCCAACATGGTGAAACCCCATTTCTACTAAACAAAAATCAGCCAGGTGTGGTGGCACACACCTGTAATCCCAGCTACTCGGGAGACTGAGACAGGAGAAACACTTGAATTCAGCAGAATCACTTGAACCCAGAAGGCAGAGGTTGCAGTGAGGAGAGGCTGAGGCAGCAGAATCCCCTGAACCCGGGAGGTGGAGGTTGCAAGGTTGCAGTGAGCTGAGATTGCACCCCTGCACTCCAGCCTGCTGGGCGACAAAGTCTGTTTCCTTAAGTTAAGATCTCTGTTGTTGTTGTTGTTGTTGTTGTTGTTGTTGTTGTTTTAAGACAGAGTCTTGCTCTGACGCCCAGGCTGGAGTACAGTGGCATGATCTCAGCTCACTGCAGCCTTGCAACCTCTACCTCTTAGGTTCAAGGGATTCTCCTGTCTCACCCTCCCAAGTAACTGGTATTACAGGTGACTGCCACCACGCCCAGCTAATTTTTTTGTATTTTTAGTAGAAATAGGGTTTCGCCATGTTGGCCAGGCTAGTCCAAAGTCCTGACCTCAGATGATCTGCCCGCCTTGGCCTCCCAAAGTGCTGTGCTGGGATTACAGGCGTGAGCTGCCTGGCAAGATCTCTGTTTTAATGTTAATGTTGGTCAGCTGTGCCTGAATCCCAGCGTGAGGAGAGTATAATGAGGCATGTCCAACCCCCACTCTCCATTATGGCCTGAACTAGTTTTCCAGGCTAAATCTGGAATGCCGTTGGCAGAGAGAATGTATCCATTCAGTTGGTTGAGGAGCTTAGAATTTTGTTTTTGGTTTCTAGCTCCTTGGCTTCTGGTGATATTTATTACAGTGACACGTCGCTCCAGCAGATCTCACCACCTCAACATCTCAGCCAAAAACTAAAAAGTAAACAACAAAGCCTATAAATGGCCAAAATAATGGGCATGAACTCTGGGGACTAAAGCTCAGGCTCTGTTTACTGGCAAGCCCCTCAACCACTCTCTTAGGGATTTTTCACTTTAAATATTCAGAACCTTCGTAGGAAGCTCAGTTTGTTACCGGAAAGGGGTTTTGATTCATTCAGACCCCAAGTGAGGATTCTTGAATCTCTTGCAAGAAAGGATTCAGGGCAGGTCCAAAGAGTAAAGTGAAAGTGAATTTATTAAGAAAGTAAAGGAAGCCAGACACGGTGGCTCACACCTGTAATCCCCAGCACTTTGGGAGGCTGAGGTGGGCAGATCACTAGGTCAGGAGTTGGGGACCAGCCTGACCAACATGGTGAAACCTGTCTCTACTAAAAATACAAAATTAGCCGATTGTAGTTGCACACGCCTGTAATCCCAGCTACTCAGGAGACTGAGGCAGGAGAATTGCTAGAACCTAGGAGGTGGAGGTTATAGTGAGCAGAGATGGTGCCACTGCACTCCAGTCTGGGCAACAGAGCAAGACTGAAAAAAAAAAGGGAGGAGTGGGGGAAGTAAAGGAATTAAAGAATGAGCAGCCCTAAGGGCTGCTGGTAGGCTGTTTTTATGGTTATTTCTTGATTATATGCTAAACAAGGGGTGGATTATTTATAGGTTTTCTGGGCAAGGAGAATGATTTCCTGGAACCGAAGGCTTCTCTTCCTTTTATACCATGTAGATGTTGCCATAGCATTTTTGTAAACCTTCATGGCGCCAGGCAGGAGTGTCTTTTAGCATGCTAATGAATTATAACTAGCATATCATAAGTGGTGAGGATGAGCAGCGTTCACTTTCTTTACCATCTTGGTTTCTGGCAGATTTTGGCCAGCTTCTTTACTGCACACTGTTTTATTAGAGGGGTCTTTGTGACCTGTATCTTGTGTGGACCTGCTATCTCACTGTTACCAGAAAGGGGTCAGGATAAAGAGCCCAAGAGAGGGTTCTTGGCCCTTGCACAAGAAATAATTCAGGGCAAGTCCATAAAGTGAAGGTAAGTTTATTAAGAAAGAAAATAATACCAGTCAAAAACAAGCAATGGGGAAAGGATTCCCTGTTCAATAAATGGTGTTGGGAAAGCTGGCTAGCCATGTGCAGAAAGCAGAAACTAGACCCCTTCCTGACACCTTACACTAAAATTAACTCCAGATGGATTAAAGACTTAAACATAAGACCTAACACCATAAAAACCCTAGAAGAAAATCTAGGCAAAACCATTCAGGACATAGGTGTAGGCAAGGACTTCATGACTAAAACACCAAAAGCATTGACAACAAAAGCCAAAATAGACAAATGGGACCTAATCAAACTCCACAGCTTCTGCACAGCAAAAGAAACAATCATTAGAGTGAATCGGCAACCAACAGATTGGGAAAAAATTTTTGCAGTTTACCCATCTGACAAAGGGCTGATATCCAAAATTTACAAAGAACTAAAACAGATTTACAAGAAAAAAACTAACAAGCCCATTCAAAAGTGGTCAAAGGATATGAACAGACACTTTACAAAAGAAGACATACGTGAGGCCAACAAACATGAAAAAATGCTCATCATCACTGGTCATCAGAGAAATGCAAATCAAAACTACATTGAGATACCATCTCACGCCAGTTAGAATGGCGATCATTAAAAAATCTGGAGACAACAGATGCTGGAGAGGATGTGGAGAAATAGGAACACTTTTACATTGTTGGTGGGAGTGTAAATTAGTTAAACCATTGTGGAAGACAGTGTGGCGATTCCTCAAGGACATAGAAATAGAAATTCTATTTGACCCAGCAATCCCATTACTGGGTATATATCCAAAGGATTACAAATCGTTCTACTATAAGGACACGTGCACACGAATGTTCACTGCAGCACTGTTTACAATAGCAAAGACCTGGAACCAACCCAAATGCCCATCGACGATAGACTGGATAGGGAAAATGTGGCACATATACACCATGGAATATTATGCAGCCATCAAAAGCCATGAGTTTGTATCCTTTGTAGGGACATGGATAAACCTGGAAACCATCATTCTCAGCAAACTGACAGAAGAGCAGAAGATCAAACACTGCATGTTCTCACTCATAGGCGGGTGTTGAACAATGAGAACACGTGGACACAGGGAGGGGAGCACTACACACTGGGGTCAGTTGGGGGGAAATAGGGGAGGGACGGTAGGGGGTGGGAAGCTGGGGAGAGATAGCAAGGAGAGAAATGCCAGATGTAGGTGATGGGGAGGAAGGCAGCAAATCACACTGCCACGTGTGTTACTATGCAACAATTTTGCATGTTCTTCACATGTACCCCAAAACCTAAAATGCAATAAAATAAATAAATGGGAAAAAAAAAAAAGAAAAAAGAAAATAATATCTACTCCCTAGGCAGAGTAGCCCCGAGGGCTGCTGGTTGCCCATTTTTATGGTTGTTTCTTGATTATATGCTAAATAAGGGATGGTTTATTCGTGCCTTCTCTTTTTAGACTTTATAGGGTAATATCCAGACGTTGTCATGGCATTTGTAAACTGCGATGGCGCCAGTAGGAGCACAGCAGTGAGAATGACCATGGGGCCACTCATCGCCATCTTGGTTTTGGTGGGTTTTAGTCAGCTTCTTTACTGCGACCCGTTTCATCAGCAGAGACTTTGTGACCTGTATCTTGTGCCAACCTCCTATCTTATCCTGTGACTTAGAATGCCTAACCTCCTGGGAATGCAGCCCAGTAGGTCTCAGCCTTATTTTACCCAGCCCCTATTCAAGATAGAGTAGCTCTGGTTCGCAGCCTCTGGCAAGTTCACTGGTGGCACAGGCCCCTTTTTTTTTTTTTGAGACGGAGTTTCGCTCTTGTTACCCAGGCTGGAGTGCAATGGCACGATCTCGGCTCACCGCAACCTCCGCCTCCTGGGTTCAGGCAATTCTCCTGCCTCAGCCTCCTGAGTAGCTGGGATTACAGGCATGTACCACCATGCCCAGCTGATTTTTTGTATTTTTAGTAGAGACGGGGTTTCACCGTGTTGACCAGGATGGTCTCGATCTCTTGACCTCGTGATCCACCCGCCTCGGCCTCCCAAAGTGCTGGGATTACAGGCTTGAGCCACCGCGCCCGGCTTCACAGGCCCCTTTTAGCAACAACAGAGACAACACTCCTAACAAGTTGGCTTAAGCATTTTACAAACACAGCTTTTATTTCAGAGGGGGCTACTTACAAACGTCCCTTCCAAATCCCCTAAGGGCACACAGTAGAAAACGCCTTCATGATTATCCTAACATCATAACTGCGAGGACCACCAACCTCTTTTCACGAAAAGAGGGCAGATATATACTCAAGGCAGACCCTCTAAAGCGAAACTGGAGTTATGAGGTCCGTTAAACTTGGGTTGAATTTGAACCCAAGCCTGCCTGGGTGAAAAGCCCGTTGCCTCCTTTGCACCTCGGCTGCGTCAGGTTCTTAAAGAGGCGATGGAGGATGTACTTCTTAGAGAACCTCAATATGTCTACGATGTAAGTGTTTAGGTGCTTCCTTAACTTGGAAAAACCACAACTGAGGACCCCCGGCCAACGCGGCGCCTGCATATTGAGTGCGTCCAGGAAAACGAATTTCCTCCCGCGGAGCGTCGGTTTAAGCAGCACAATCGCTCTGGCGACTGGAGGCTCCGTGGCCCGGCAGCAGGAGGGGGGCGGGGCGCGAGGGCCACGCTCGTGGGTCCGCTTTTTCCCTCCCAGCCAGCCGCGCTCTGCTCCCATCTGCCAGCGGGAAAGAGCGTCTCCAGGCACGCCAGCATGCGCACTCCCGGCCTTAACCCTAGGCTCCGCCTCAGCCTCCCGGATTGGAGTCTTCTGGGAACGGTTCTCCTCCGGCCCCCACCGGCGGACTTCCTGCCAGCAGCTCCACAGCCCCGCCCCCTGAAGATCCACCAATCACGGTGCGTGTGTGGCCTGAGTGGGTGGGGCCTGAGAGATTCGAAAGGAGCCCCGCCCCCTCGGAGCAGATTCCCGGGGCTAGGTTGCTGGGGGAAGACGTGTGGAAGACAAGGTGGCGCGGGAAGTGGAAACAGGGTGGGCTGGAGGTGTGCTTTGCGTGTGGTGTCAGGGAAGTGGAAACGTGGCTTGGTGGGTGAAGAACCCTGAGGATAGTGGCGGGGAGGAAGATGGGGCGTTCAGAACCCCCCAGTGAGGAGAGACCAGGATGAGGGGCGGCTCCAGGGCAATCTGGGCGGTGGGAGGAGCCCTCCGAACTTTTCCCGGAGATAGCAGGGGTAGTTACGCGGCAGGTGCCACGCCTGGGCGCTTGCTTTGCCTTCAGCATGACGCGCCCCTGGCCTGATTATAGCTGCAATCTCTGGGCAGGATGGATACCTCAGGAAAGGTATGTTTTCTCTCCAGCTCAGGTCTAAGTGGACTCTCGCTCCTGCTGGCTGGACATGGAGGATTTGGAGGAAGGTAAGGAAAGGAGGGAGGGAGGAATGAGACCCAGCAATGGAGAGCTGCATCAGGGACCCATGACTGGCCTTCATTCTTCTTTCCCCTTCAGATGTAAAATTTATTGTGGATGAGACCTTGGACTTTGGGGGGCTGTCACCATCCGACAGGTACCAGCCTCTGTATCCTACTTACTTTCCTCTAACAGCACCTCTTTGTCTCGAATCCCTCACTGCTGAATTATTGACCTCTGGGACTTGGGTTGGTAATTTAGCAAGGTTTTGTGCACTCGGGGCTACTGGGTGGCTGGTTGACTCGGGCCTCTATGACACTATTGGTAGTGGGGAGAGAAGCGGGAAGCTGGAGTTCGATTTCAGGGTGTTAAGAAGAAGGGTAAGTGGATTTGCTGCATCTCCATCCTGGCATCATTTCTGATGTCAGTAAATGCTAAAGGCCTATTAGGCCCCATGGAACCAGGTATCTCATCTCCCAGAGGCCACATCTCACAGCCGGCGCGGACATCAGGGCATGGGGTTCTGTCCCTGGCTCCGTTGTGGGGCTTTTGCCCAGTCTCCCTTGCATAGTCTTCTGTTGTCTTTTCATGGGCATGATGCCTGGTTTGTTTCCTGTCTCAGCCGTGAGGAGGAAGACGTAACAGTGTTGGTGACTCCAGAGAAACCACTTCGACGGGGCCTCTCCCACCGAAGTGACCCAAATGCAGTGGCTCCTGCTCCCCAGGATGTGAGGTTCAGCCTAGGCCCCCTCAGCCCAGAGAAGCTGGAGGAGATCCTCGATGAGGCCAACCGGCTGGCCTCCCAGCTGGAGCGGTGTGCCCTGCAGGAGCGGGAGAGCGCGGGCGAGGGCCTGGGGCCTCGCCGAGTGAAGCCCAGTCCTCGGCGGGAGACCTTTGTGCTCAAGGACAGTCCTGTCCGAGACCTGCTGCCCACTGTGAACTCTTTGGCTCGGAGCACCCCCTCCCCAAGCAGCCTGACGCCTCGACTCCGGAGCAGTGATAGGAAGGGGTCAGTCAGGGCTCTTCGGGCAACGCCTGGAAAGAGGCCCTCCAACATGAAGAGGGTGAGTTGAGAGGACTGAGTTGGAGGTGTGCCCCAGACATAGCGCATGCCATGATGCAGGCAGAGAGTGGTTTCCTTATTGGTAAAACCGGGGATAGTATTTCTTCATCTAGAATTGTTGGAATTAAATGAGAACCATAAACAAAGAGAACAAAAACTCATACCACAGTGTCTGAGTATAGGCTCTGTAATGTCTATAATAAACTCCGTAAATGGTATTGGCAATAGTGAGGGTGACGGTGATGTTAGCAGCAAACATCTACCCTTCCTTACTGGGATCTAAACAACGCTCCGCCTCTAGTTCTTAATTCCTTCAGCCACAGAACAGATATTTTCTCCACTCTAGTCTTTTTTCCTCTCTCTTTGTGTTTCAGGAGTCACCCACTTGCAGTCTGTTCCCTGCATCGAAAAGCCCAGCATCTTCTCCTCTTACCCGATCGACGCCCCCAGTCCGAGGGAAGGCTGGGCCCAGTGGGAGAGCAGCAGCCAGTGAGGAGACCTGAGCAGCCAAGTTGCGGGTGAGTGGGAGTGGGGAGTTTGTGGGACTGACTCTGAAATTTCTCTATTCCTCTCCACCAGGTCCACCTACCACCATCAGACCCGTCCTGGCCCCACAGCCTTCTACCAGTAACTCTCAACGCCTGCCCCGGCCACAGGGAGCAGCTGCTAAATCTTCCAGTCAACTGCCCATTCCCTCGGCCATCCCCAGGCCTGCCAGCCGAATGCCACTCACCGGCCGGAGTGTACCACCTGGCAGAGGTGCCCTACCTCCGGATTCTCTGTCAACTCGGAAAGGGCTTCCAAGACCAAGTGCCGCAGGACACAGAGTGAAGGAAGGTGGACACAAGGGTAAGAGATCAGAAAGAGGAATACCTGCCCTTGCCCGGCATGTCCTCACTCTCCCAGAGCTGGCAACAGTGACCACTTTTGCCATCCTCATTGCAATTCGATTGGAAGATGGGGAGGCTGAGTTACAGAGAGCATATGGGGCTGGACAGAGTCTAAGTCTTAGTTTCCAAATACATCATGGTTGAGGGGAGAGCACTAATCCCATGCTCACTCCCTTCATCCAGTATTTCTTTTGAGGTCAGTTAAACTTGCTGCTAACTCATTTCCTTTGTTAACTCCCATGAAGTTCCTGTTTCCCAGCGACTAAATCTTCCCGTCATGGGTGCCACTCGCAGCAATGTGCAGCCCCCCAGGAAAGTGGCAGTCCCAGGACTTACCAGGTCAGTCTGGTCCTCCCTTGTCTGTCCTGTCTCCCTACCCCGCCATCATCTGGGATTCTAAACTGTTATGCACATTAGCCCTGAATTTTGCGTGGAAAGATTGAGAGAGGAGGGGAGCGGGGGGCAGGAGAAGCGGGGGGTCCCATTTCTTCCCACCCTGAGGAGCTTGAACTCTCCTGGGTGACAAATGGGCTTGAGGAAAGATGGCATTTTAAAGCAGTTCTTCCTTCTATCTCTTTAGATAAAGAGGTCAGGACAGCAAGCAAGACTTCAGTAGCAAACCACTACAATCAGTACCTGGACTCGCCTCTACCCAGCCGACCCTGACTCCAGCAGATTCTGGCCCAGGGACAGGAGGAGGAAGAGATGCCACCAGGGCTGGTCCCCCAGGAGTAGAGACCATGGGAAATGGGGTGGATTAGGATTGAGCTGGAGAAGACTTAAACTCTCTGGGTTGAAAGAAGATTAGGGGAACAGAGGTCACCTTCCAGCAGTGAAATGAACAAACAGAAATGAGAGGTACAGGCAAGTGGTTTGTCTTTATCCACCCCCACTGTGTGGTCAGCCCCAGAGAATTTGATCTTCTTCCCGGGCATTGGTTCACTGGACATTTCCATGTGAGTGCTCTCTGTAGCTAACCTTCCTGCTCTCTGAGGGGCTGTCTTCCTGAATCTTATTCTCTACTGGACTCCAGCCTGCTTGGAGAGGCGGCAGCAGGCACCTGGTCTTCAGAGATTGTTCCCTGTGAATTCCGTGACTCCTAATAGGCCAGTTTGTGATAAGCTTACTCTATCAGTCTTCATTTTTCTAAAATAAAGTGAATGTATTTTTATATTCTCTGTATATCTGGAAGTCGATCCTGCTCCGATTTCTTTTTTTAGACAGTCTCGCTCTGTCACCCAGGCTGAAATGCAGTGGCGCAATCTTGACTCACTGCAACCTCCACCTCCTAGATTCAAGCAATTCTCCTGCCTCAGCCTCCTGAGTAGCTGAGATTACAGGCGCCCACCACCACGCCCGGCTAATTTTTTGTATTTTTAGTAAAGACAGGGTTTCACCATGTTGGCCAGGCTGGTCTCAAACTCTTGACCTCAGGTGATCCACCCACGTCCACCTTCTAGAGTGCTGAGATTACAGGTGTGAGCCACTGCGCCCAGCCCCTGCTCCAATTTCTAACAAGTTTGGAGTAAATCTCCATAATACCAGGGAGGGGGCCAGGATGAGCCTCCTAGGCAGGGGCCTGAATAGGCCCCAAGGCCTTGAGATTCCGGCTCATCAGGCTATGACTACTCCCCTTGTTGGCATTAGACAAGGACAGGCTGCCTTTCCCCAGGTCTCTTGTATCATTGGAAGGTCCAGATGAAAGTTAAGTGTAGCTAATTCACAGTATGTGAGGCTATTAAGCTAGGCTAGGTAGATTCTTTATTTAAACTTGAATGTCCTTTACTGGCAAAGGAATGGGGCCTCCTAGAAACACAACAGCTTCTTTTTTTTCTTCTTTTTTTTTCAAGGCAGAGTCTCACTCTGTTGCCCAGGCCGGAGTTCAGTGGCACGATCTCAGCTCCCTGCAACCTCCGCCTCCCAGGTTCAAACAATTCTGCCTCAGCCTCCTGAGTAGCTGGGACCACAGGTGCGTGCCACCATGCCTGTCTTATTTTTTGTATTTTTAGTAGAGACAGGGTTTCACCATGTTGGCCAGGCTCGTCTCGAACTCTTGACCTCAGATGATCCACCCACTTCGGCCTCCCAAAGTGCTGGGATCATAGGCGTGAGCCACCATGCCCGGCCCACACCACCTTCTTATTTGCTCTCCTTGTGAGACATGAAGGCCCTTTAGTGGTGTTCATCTCCCGCAGTCACCTCAGCCAGAGCAGCTGGAACACCTTGTCATGCTCCAACTCACATCACGGGTTGTCTGCGCTCTCCTCATCTCCCCTGTTAGACTGGCGAGCATTAGGATCTGGAAACCTCTGCCGTGCTCTAGTGTTGTGACCTGTGTGTAGCACTGGTCACAGAGCATTTGGTTTATTTATTAGAAAATATTTGAGTGCAAGATGGTGAGTGTTTGCTGAAGGAATGACAAAGACATGTTTAACACATTTGGCATAGGGCTTCCCTTTTTTTTGCAGCCTTTAACTCTGGTAATCAGAGCCAATTCAATTCCTTCTGAGTTTTGAGGACACTTCCCTTCTCGAAAGCCAGGCCAAGACTCGAGAAAAGTAGAAGGTTAAGTGGGCAAAGAGAAGTGGGACTGCCAGCTGGTGCCCCACCCGTGCCTATATAGCCATAAATGCCTAGCTGAGGCACCAAAGTGTCCTTGCCCTGTCCCTGGAGCCAGGGGCCCTCCACTGCTTTCTCCCTTTTGTGTCTGATCCCAAAGTTCACCTATCGCATTTGCCAACTTCAGCGACAGTGCCTGGACACTTTTCCCTGAGCTCTGCAGCAACTCCTGCAGCTCTGCATTCCAGGGATTGGTGGGAGGGAAGGGGTATGCAGACCGACGCGGAGTATTGGGCTCTGGAGGAATTTGGTGCAAGGCAAGGAACTTCAGATGTGCTTCCCAGCTGTGTCCTGCACTGGTGTCTAGTGAGGAGGGCCTGTTTGTGGCTCCTGGCCCACAGTAGAAGCACTGGAAGGTCAGCAGGCTTAGGTACACACCTGGGCGAAGCCGGAAGGTGACACGTTTGTGTGCGTTGTGTGAGCCACGTCCTGGATGGGTCGTTAGAGGCAAAACAAGCTGCAGACCATGTGTTGTTGCCACCTGGTGGCTGGAGAGGGCAAGGCATGTCCTGTTTGCCCTCTTGGTCAGCCGTGAGTTTTGTCCCTACGCCACTCCCTCCCATGCCAAACCTGCTTCAGCAGCACTTTCCGTAGTCAGGGAGGAGCCCCTCCTGCCACGGCCGCCCTTCTTGTTCAGCCACCTGCCTGTCTCCTTCCCTTTGGGCCTGGCTCTCTACTTTTTCTGTCTATGCACTCTTCCACCGCACCCAGTAGCAACAATACCAAAAGCCAGTGTTTACCGGCCTCTTACTATGTACTGTGAACTGTTCCAAGCACTACATGTGTTAACTCACTTAATCCACATAAAAGCTCAATTAGGTGGATGCTTTTATCATCATCCTCATTTTGCAGGCAGAGAAACTTAAGGCGTAGAAAGATTAAGTCACTCAGTCTGGTTCCAGGGTTTGTGTTTTTTTTTTTTTTTTTTTTTTTGAGACAGGTCTGGCTGTATTACCCAGGCTGGGTACAGTGGTTTGATCTTGGCTCACTGCAGCCTCTGCCTCCTGGGCTCATGCCATCCTCCCACCTCAGCCTCCCTAATAGCTGGGACTACAGGCACGTACCACCACAGCGAGCTAACTTTAGTTTTGTATTTTTTTTGTAAAGATGGGGTTTCACCTTGGCCTCAAGTGATCTACCCACCTTGGCTTCCCAAAGTGCCCAGCAGGGTTTGCGTTCTTAATTATCACCCTATATTGTTCCCAGGTTAACTTCCTTTCTAGGCATTTTTTTTTTTTTTTTTTTTTGAGATGGAGTCTCGCTCTTGTCACC